CCCCGACACCCCCTCTCCTCCCCATCCTGTGGTCCACGGGCCGGCCAGCTGGGTGCCCCAGGGACGTGATGATGCAGATAAATACATTTATATTTTTAAGAAAAAGCGAGCCTCCCCCCTCCCTCGCGGGGGCGGGGAGGGTCCTCTGTGTGTGCCTCCGGCACGTCGGGGACCCCACCCTCCCACCGCCTCCGTTAACACTATCCTGAATAAATCTTGATAACCCCAGAGCCAGCTGTCGTGGGGAGGAGGCAGCTCCCTGGGCCCGGGGCCAGGCCAGGGGGTCACACTGGCCGCGGTCTGTGGGTTCATCTGGGCTCCGGGCCGTGAAAGGCAGGAGCTGCTGCAAGTGCCGACCCTGACCCTCCCACGGGCTGCCGGACGGAGGCAGGGGCGAGGGTCTGAGGATGTAGCGACTGCCTTTATTGCATAGACCTTTTCAATTGCTTTGAAGTTTGGGGTCTGGAGACGCACAGGAGACAGAAAACGGGAAATGAACTTCCCGCCCGCGCGGACGGGGCGGAACCTTAGTGCAAATGTGAGCGTTGGCCCAGGGGAACCCGCCCCTCCTGGCCAGTTCAATGGAGGCACCGGAGTGGACAGGGCGAGACCGGGCCCTGGCTGGCCAGCCCGGACGCGGTACGAGAGGCCCGCCCCCAGCCGACCTGGTCTTCCAGCAGCTGGAAGCGAGGGTCTGGACTGAGCTGCGCCCTCATTGGTCAGGCACTACCCTCCCGGGCGGGCCCACTTCCCTGTGGCCCTAATGGCCCTCACCCCCTGGCATTGGGGCCACCCTCTAGCATCACCACTGGTCCCCGGGAGGCGGGCACAGTCCTGAGACAGGGGCTCCCCTGCACGTGGGGCCTCCGACCTAACTAGCAGCCAGGCCCCGCCCCGAGCGAAGGCTCCGCCCCCTTGGAATGTAGGCCCCGCCCATCAGCAGGCTCCAAGTTTCGAGGTTCAGGGCTCTCGCCCAGGGCGGCCTGGAGGCCCAGTGAGTAGCGTACCTAGGCCCGGATGCACCTGAGCCTGCAGGGGCCCGTACTCCACCTGCTCCCCATCCACCGTGAGCACCCCGCGAGGAGTGAGCGGCTCGAGGCGAAAGGCACGAGCTGCGGCATAGCCCAGCTGCGGGCAGCCCAGGCTGAAGTGGCTCC